GAGGGAAAGATGAATGAAGCAATGTACAGAGACATTCTGAATGAAGACCTGCTTCAGAGTGCTCTTGATCTCAGACTGGGGCGATGCTTCATCTTCCAGCAGGACAATGACCCAAAGCACACTGCTAAAATATCAATGGAGTAGCTTCACAACAACTCAGTGAATGTCCTTGAGTGGCCCAGCCAGAGCCCAGACCTAAATCCTATTGAACATCTCTGGAGAGATGTGAAAATGGCTGTACGCTGTTGCTTCCTATCCAACCTGATAGAGCTTAAGAGGTACTGCATAGAGATATGGGAAAAATTCCCAAAGACAGGTGTGCCAAGCTTGTGGCATCATATTCAAAAAGACTTGAGGCTGTAATTACGCTATGAATGCTTCCCAGATGCACTGTATTTCTAATAGCTTATTTGTTTTTTGTCATGATGGCGATACAAACTGTAGTATTTTACTAGTTATTTTGCAAGATACTTATATTCAGCTCACAGAAATCAAAATTTACATTGTTTATTTTGCTAGCACACATTGTTATTTTTTAAGTGAATAATTAATCTTCCATTATCAAAGTATCCTCAGAAATTATACCCAGAGAAAAAAGTTTGTTTTGGTAATCTTCAATCTTCAACAAGTCTGAGCATTTGGTTCTGTCTTTTGAGTGACGGTCCTTCTCTGTTGACGCCGGTTTGGCTTCTGCCAGAATTTTTGTTTTAACTACACTCCTCTTAGTGTTAGTTTGTGGGAGTGATGCACAAAAAGATAAACTCTTCCCTTCTCAGTATTTAGTTTCAGTTGGAAGCATGTCTACATACTGTAATAAGAGTCTCTGGAACTTTTTGGTTTACGCTGAATTTTTCACACAGCAAGTCATGGGACAACAGTGGTTTGTTTTGTAGCTGATCAGGGAAAAACAAAACCATTTTTAAAGCTAAAAAATATTGACCTTAAATATAAAAAATAAATGAAAACTGCTTTTATTCCAGCCAGACTAAAATATTTAAGACTTTCATCCGAAGAAAAAAATTGAATGGGAATTGGGAATTACTATGAAACATGTCCTTGCTTTATTTAACATCACATCAAATATATATTTATATTTATTTTTTCATTAATTTTCCTTCAAGTTAGTCCCTTTATTCATCAGGGGTCACCACAGCAGAAAGAACCGTCAACTTATACAGCATATGTTTTACACAGCGGATGCCCTTTAAGCTGCAATCCTGTACTGGGAAACATCCATACGCTTTCACATTTACACACACATACTCAAATTTAGTTTATTCAATTCCCCTGTAGTGCATGTCTTTGGACTGTGGGGAAAACCGGATCACCCGGAGGAAACCCACTCCAACACGGGAAGAACATGCAAACTCCACCAAAAATGTAAACTGACTCAGCCTAGACTCGAACCAGCAGACTTGCTGTGAAGCGACAGTGCTAACCACTGAGCCATTTTGCCACCATATTTATATTTATATTCATTCATTTTCTTTTCGTCTAAGTCCTTTTATTAATCTAGCGTCACCACAGTGGAATGAACCGCCAACTTATCTAGCATATGTTTTACACAACAGCAGATGCCCTTCCAGCTGCAACCCATCACCGGGAAACAGCCATACAGACTCATTCACACACATACACTACATACAATTTAGCCTATCCAATTCACCTATATCATATTTATATTTCTCAAAATATTAATAATATTCTTCATACAAATATTGAGATTTTGTCGATATTTTTAAAAGTTTCTGTACTTAACATTTTATCTTTATAACATTTAAGCTGTTTGTATGATTTCTGTTAAGACTAAATCAAGTTGGAACGGTATAATCCTGAAAGCCACCGCGATTCAATACAGATGAAAGAAAATGGAGTTTTGAATAGCTGTCACATAGAGTCACTATATTATTGTATTGTGACCCAGATATCAATATTCCGCATCAGCAGGTCCCCGAGTCCCACCCCTAATCATTGTTGTGCTCTGTGTTTGAATAATTGACCCGCTCAGTGGTGTGAACAATTTATCAGCCCTTGACGTAAATGTGACTGTGTGTGTGGAACAGACTGTTTCTCAGGAATAGAATGTTGTCGCTGTGTTTTGGCTCTTACTGCTTGTTTTCATTCCAAGTACCGCGTCGCTCCCTATCCCAGAATGCACTGTAGCATCAATAGGACACTCACATGCTGGGTCATGAAGGACTGTCAGCTGTGCATATGCCTGTGTTACTGACTGAGTACTTGAAGAAATAATCCAGCCGTCCATATCATCAATCCATCTGTTTTGTCTTTTTGCTTGCATCTGTCGTTGTATTATTGAGTGATTGATCTGTCATTCTGTGACATTTTATCAGACTGTCATTCTGTCTGTTGTTCTATCATTTCATAATTTTTCTCTCATTGTTCTTTCTGTTTTCTTGCTTTCTGTCATTGTAGTGTTGTGTTGTTTGACGATCGTATCTGTTATACTGTTTTAATTTCATTGTCTTTCTGTTTCCTTATGCTATTTACTGTCATTCTGTCTCTGTACAGTATGTGTCAATTTGTCTTCATGCTTTGTCGTTTTTTCTTTTGTTTTGTCTAAGTCTGTCATTCTGTATGTCGTTCTGTCTGTCATTCTGTCGTTTTTGTCTTTTATTCTGTCTGTCTCTGTCGTTCTGTTGTTTTTGTGTGTCTGTTGTTCTGCCTGTCCATTCTTCCGTTCGTCATTCTGTCTGTCTGTCATTCTGTCATTTTTGTTTGTCTGTCGTTCTATCTATCTATCTATCTATCTATCTATCTATCTATCTATCTATCTATCTATCTATCTATCTATCTATCTATCTATCTATCTATCTATCTATCTATCTATCTATCTATCTATCTATCTATCTATCTATCTATCGTTCTATCTATTGTTCTGTCTCTGTTTTGACTGTCTGTTTGCTCTGTCTGTCTGACATTTTGTCTGTCTGTTGTTGTCTTTCTCGTTCTGTCTGTCATTCTGTCTGTCATTCTCTCTGCCTGCCTGTATATCTGTATCTGTCTGTTTCTCTGTTGTTTTTGTCTGTCTGTCTGTCTGTCTGTCGTTCTGTCATTTTTGTGTCTGTCGTTCTGTCTGTTGTTCTGCCTGTCATTCTATCCATCCCTCCCTCTCCCTCTCTTTCTTTTTTTTGTCTATCTCTGTTCTTTCTAGTGTCCTGTCTATCTTTGTGGTTTTTTCATTCTGTCTTTCTTCAGTATCTTTCTATCATTCTGTCTTCATTCTTTCTGTCAATTTACCTCTCTGTTGTTCTCTGTTGTCCATTTAGACTTTTTCTACAGTTTCGGTCAGTCATTCTGTGTTTTTGTTCAAACTGTTGTTCTATTGAAAAGATCTGTCTTTGTCCTGTTGGTTGCTCTTTTCATCCTTGTGTTTACTTTTGTTCTGTTTACAATATTTTGGCTATTTATCTGCATTCTATTTACAGTGTGTATCATTGATCTTTCTGTCATTTATTATTCTGTCTTTTATATCTATTCATTCTTTCTGTACTTCTGATGTTATGTCTTTCATTCGATCATTCTGTCTTTTTTTTCTATCTACAGTATCTGTCTTTCCTAACTATCTTTTTGCGTTGTTGTCATGTCTGTCATTCTATCATCCTCTCCGTTGACCTATCAACAGTATCATCTTCTGTCGTTCTGTTTATCTTTATTCTTCATGTAGTTTTGCATGTCTAAAGCAGTGCTTCCCAACTCTGTTCCTGAAGGCACACCAACAGTACACATTTTCAACCTCCTGATATTCAGATGCACCTAAATCAAACATCAGAACATTAAAAGACACTCAAAAAGCTCAAATGAATGCTTCAGATAAGGGTAGACATCTAAAATATATAGTGTTGGTTTGCCTCCAGGAACAGGGTTGGGAAACACTGGTCTAAAGTATCTGTTCTGTCTGCAGCATTTTTCTGTTGTTCAGAGAGTCATTCTGTCCGCCTTCATTCTGTCATCTGTTTTTTCTTTATTTCTTTTTCATTTTATCTTTCTTTCCATCATTCTATCAGTTTTTTTCTTCATCTGCCTATCTGTAACACGGTGAGAGTGATGTTTGTGTTTGAGTTGAGTTTTAGATGTGTATTTTGAGTAAATTTGGGACGCCTTGTGGTTATATAAAGAGAACTGCTCCCACGAGAGCTGAATCTCTTCTGCATATTCAGATGTATCATCAGGAAAATCATATGACTCTGATTAGCATTTATTTATGATGCGGGTTCAGTGCATCATATCCATGTCTCATTAACATATCTTACATTCTTTGGAATAATGAGTAAACTCATTATTCGGAATGTGACTACTGCATGTTGACTTGCAAATGCTGAGATGGTAACTGCTTCTCTGGATTCTTCGTTGCTTGTTCTGCCCCCCTTCCTCTGTCTGTTTTTCCATCCACCCCCCCTCCTGTTGTCACTTGAGCTGCCATGTTTATTCCTCTGGGAATTTTACAGCGAGAGGGAGAGATTTGAGGTAGACTGTAATTCAAGACAGGACTTGTCCATGTCTACCACTACCTATGAAAGAAAACGTGCCAGATTTGCAAATGTTGTCATTCTGTTTATGCGTTTTATTTTGGTAAAAGGAGGCGGATACGTTTTTAGTGAATATACAGAGTGGCGTTTCATTATTAAAACGGGGTCGCTGGAGTCTCAGTGGGTCTGTAAACTCATGCTTTTCTGGGTTGATAGAATTTAAATAGCGCACATTAAGGGACTTCATTTAAATAATGTGTCAAGATTTGCATTATAATAAGTGAATGACTTTTAAGCACTTTAGTGAAATGAAAAGAACAGAGATGAGCTAAATATTTTTTTTCGGGCTGCATAGTCATTTTTGACCTTGCGTTTCTATTTAAATTCTTAAGTATAAGATAAAAAGCCTGATTAAATGTTTTTTTTTTCTAAAAATGTTAATCCTCGCAGCAGATTTTATTGAGAAATAAGCCATGTTCTCTTAATGATCTGTCTGTGTTTCTCTCTCTCTAGGTTACAGCCCCTGGTGCGTGCGCAGCCCTCTAAGAAGCTGGCCCTTGATCAGGTGAGTGAATTTAAATCACCGTCCTTCACATTAGCACATCCTTGGCAGGTCTCTGGATATATTAAACCAATTTTCCTTAACCCTCAAATGGCCCCCTGGCCCAGAACTTCACTTAGTTTATCCCCGGCGCAGGAAAACTGCATTAAGTTGACCTAGAAACGGGCTTTTCCTTTTCATGTCTAAATTAAGCGAATTATTTTGATCCGCCGAGCTGCTCCTGGATCAACTTTTAGCTGATACTCAAAGGCTCAGGCGTATCGTTAGCTAATGCAGCGCCTCGGACTAAAGCAGAAAGTGGGCCGCTGACGTCTGGACTCTGAGGATGCCTTGATGACACATGCTCTTTTCTCTGGTCCCCTACTGATCCCTCTGTGTCGTTCTGGTCTGCAGTGGGTCTGGCGCTCCCTCCGGCTGTGTCTTCCATCTCTCTGGATGTCAAGGGCCTTGATCTCCTCTGTTTTGTTTTTTCTCTCTCTGTTTGTAAGGCAGCCTGTCTGTCTCATGTCAGTTTCTAGTCTTCTGCCTGTTACTTTTAAACTTATGTGTGTGCTTTAGTGTGAATGTATAATCATCTTCCTTTTGAACCCGGAGCAGAAAGATTTCCTCCAGGGGTCAATATTCAGGTAACTAGGCAACCTCTTTGACATCACTTAGCAGGGAAATGAAGCTTTGAGATCAGAAAAATAAAGATTAGAAATTCACTAACCAGGTTAATGGTTAACTCTGAAGATTGTATAATGATAATTGTGATTTATTATTTCTAGGAGCATTATGATAGGAAAACTGCTTTTTTTTCTTATATCAATAATTAAAATGGTCTAAATTTCTACATGCTGCATCTGTAAATTATTCCCCTTATCACAGTACAATCTGATGTTCAATATTTTGTCAATATAATACTGATGTTCAATATTATAATACAGTACAATATTTGCAGATACTTAAAAAAATTCAGCCATACAACTGAATATGATTCAGTGGTATATGACTTATACTGACATAACGGTGCCTGTTTTATTCAACTGCCTACATTTTATTAAATCTCAAATGCAAACTAAATATAAAACATGAAAGTCAATTTTTTTATTTCTAAAAAAATTAATTTGCTATATCACAATTGGAACATCCACAACAACAACAAAAAAAGATTTTATTTTTCCTTTTAAAGAAAGGTAAATAATAAACAACAGTCAACAGTAATAAATACTATGAAAATCAAAAAATTTTGTTAGGAAACAAAACACAAAACTGGGTACTAAGTTATATTTAAGCTAGTAAAAAGTAGTTTAGTTTAGAAAAAGGACATTTTCTTATTATTATTTTTATTAATACAAAATAAAGCTGTTTTTTTTTTTGTCTGTTCGAGTGACAAATTTGTCATATTTCTTAAGCATATTTAGCCTCTTTTGCGCTTATTTCGACTCCTCTCTATCAAACACACATACACACACAAACACACTCATCATTAGTAGGGTAAATTAAATTAGATTAATAGTAAATTAATTTAAAAAACTGAATAAATATGAATTTCCACACGATTAAGTAAATAAACAGAATCAATGATTGGTTAAAAATCTCTGGAATTCTGCAATATTCTGCACGCACAGATTCCGCGTGGACCTAATCATTAGTAGGGTTGGGTGTCGTTTGGGGTTATTTCGATACCGGTGCTTAATTGATGCTTTTAAAAAGAGACAGGTGCCATACAAATTTTATTTTAATAATTTTAATTATTTACAACAAAATTAAATTATTCCATTCATATTTTATATATTTGAATTGCATTTATATATATTTTTTAAACCTTTGTTTGTCAACATGAAGGCAATATTTGCACAATACAATTAACATTACATTGGCTTACTACTAACCTGTGAAAAGTCTGTCATCAAATTTTGGAAACACCTTTTTTTTAGGGTTGACACAATTCTCTGCACTTACCGAGTCAGTAAAAGACAACAGACACACGAAATTCAAAAGTTTTCTTTCCATTCTGCATTCGGTATGAAATTCCATTAAAACAACTTTACTTTATACGTTCGATACATTGCGTCTTTGTTGCAGCACCAGTGGCACCAAAATTAGGCATTAAAATTCATATGCCTATTCAGTCCGATGCATACCGTTTACATAACTATGACACAGGGTTATATAGGTACAGTATGGCACCTAATCATTAGCATGATTCATTCGCATGATTAGGTGAGAATAAAAGGCAAACAGCAGCTACTTGTTCAACCAAAAAGGAGGAAAAGACAACTGCCATGATTAAACGAAAATATCTGGATGAAGAAAGAGCTTAAGGCAGAATTAACGCTGATGTTCCTTTTTTACCCTGCAGTCGTGGTTGCACTTTTTTTTCTTTTGGAAAATCTGCTAATTACATAGTTTGATTTGTTTCTGATGGATTTGTTAATGTAATTAAGCATTTAGCCTATGTACTTTGCTCTGCCTCTGAAAGCCTTTTTTGATGTTTCATGTCCTTATTTTCCGATGCTTCATCAACCAACCTCTCTACTCCTGTACATTAATGTACAGTTTACACTATTAACCAGCTCCACTATGTTGTTTTTCTTTTTGTTGAATTTCATGTTTCGGTTGGATGATGGATGAGAATAGGATTTCATGTTGACTCTCTCTGATCTCCAGATAGGCTCTTCTGTTCCAGTGGCGACTCCTGCTGTCTCAGCTCAGACTGCTGTTGTTGTAGAGAGCGGACCAGTGGCTTATGAAGAGCATGCAGATGAGGAAGAAGAGGATGAGGAGGATGAGCACTGTGTCAGTGCCATGCAGTTAATGGGCGGCACTAGTGGTATGTGATGCATAAAGTCTTGAGTTTTAGGATGCATTTTATATACTTTTGGTAAAAACCTGAGGCCATCATTGATGAAGGTCATTATTGATAACAATAAATAAAGAATTAAAAATCTAAATTCAAATGCAGAAGAGAATCCTCAAATATATGATGTGGAAGGTACAGAGAAATATCATCATTGGAATTAATTAAACCCATTTTTTCTTTCGAGCTGATGAGCTATAAAAACCTTTTAGCTTTTTCATATTTTGAGTTAGGTTTTATTTTCATATTCTCAGTTTTCATTTTAATTTGAGTAATTTTGCTACATGCTTTTGCCATTTTTATTAGCTTGATTTAAAAATATTTTCTTGTTTATAACCAGCTCATTTCTCATTTTCATTCCAATAATACACTGTAAAAAATAAACACAAATCGATTAAGTTAACTTAGTTTTAGGGGATTAAACATAAAACAGTTAGGTTGTTTGCAAAAAAATCTCAGCACTTGTGTTGTTTCAGCTCATTTGAAATAAGTCGGTTGAACAAGCAGCGAAAATATTTTTTTGAGTGTATGGTTTTTAAATGCGATTATCTTTATTTAATTATATTATATTTTATTATATTGCATTTTATTGTATTATATTTTATATTATGTTATATTATTTTATATTATATATATTTTATTTTATATTATATTCTTTTATATTTTATTATATTATATTATATTTTATTACATTATATTTTGTATATTATATTATATATTATTTTATTATATTATATATTCTATTCTTTTATATTATACTTTATTATATTTTATTACATTGTATTATATTCTTTTATATTATAACATATTTTATTTTATTATATATTATTTTATTATATTATATTCTTTTATATTTTATTATCTTATATAATATTTTGTTACATTATATTATATTATATTTTATTGCATTATATTCTTTTATATTATTATATTATATATTATTTTATTATATATTATATTCTTTTATTCTATATTTTATTTTATTATATTTTATTACATGATATTATATTCTTTGATATTATATTATATTTTATTGTATTAAATAATTTTATTTTACAGTATATTATTTTATTTTTTTATTTTATATTTTTATTTAAATATTAAATCCTTTTAAATATATTATATATTATTTTATATTATATTATAGATTTTTTAGTTAAGCTAACAGCTAAAACAGTTTTAATTATTTAGTTGTAGTTAATATTGCTTTATGTATGTGTAACATTTTCTAACCCATAATCCCTCAGTATAAAATATTGTTCTTTATTTTGCTCTTCATATTAATGTTGTTTTCATTTTAACAGCTTTAACTTCATTTTGTTTATAATGTGCTTAACAGATGATTAGCAGAGGTTTTGTTTCAGATTTACACATTGTTACTTAGTGAATCTGTTCACATTTAATTTCAATTTATTCAATATTGAAAATCTCAGCTCATTTTGAAAGAAGCATATTAATTTTACACACTTTGCTTGAGTTTATTCGGTTAAAATAGCAATAAGCTGTCCAAACTTGCCATTTTGACCAATATAATAACCAATAAATCTTTATATTGAAAGCCGATAACTGAAACATATGGAGAAAAATACAAATCTTGATATTATTTTTTTCTGAGGTGAAAACAATCCATCATATATCAGCCGATAATTTATATTATTATTAAAGTAATAAAAATAAGATTAGCATTTATTAGTGATTACTGTTATGGCCACCTATTCTAACTTTTCTGCATTCATTGTCTTGTTTTCTCCACAGATTATGGCTATGAATTAGATGATGATGATGGCTTCTGAAGTCAGGATGTCTATAGAAAAGACAAACTGATGCTTTTCCTGCTGCTTATGAAAACACAGATGAAACTACTCCTGCTTATACTTGCAAGATGGCTGAGAAATTCACACACTACAGAGGGATGCAGAACTAAACAAGAACAACATGTTTGTGCATTTCCACAGACACGTGCTCTGAGCTCATGTGCACTAACTTATTTAAACTTGCCCAAAGAGAGGAGTACGAGAGTAAATGGATGTGTGTGTGGTGATCGAGAGTGATGATATTCTCTCTGGAGTGTGTAAGTCTGCTTGCTAACTGCATTACTCTGTGTTTTAGGCAAATGATGATATATGATCCTGCACATCTAAAGCGATTAGCCCACATGATTCTCAGGCCTTTATGTGGACAAATGTGTGCATGTGCCTTTAACTATTACAGTATACAGGCTTGAAGTAGTATAAAGTGTTATTCTCTAAACCAAGTGTAAGTTTATGTGCTCAGTATTCAGTTTAGAATGGTTAAAATCAGATTAGTTTCTGTATTAAATTAGTGCCTTTTTAATTTGTATTATTATGTTGAGCACTGGTCTGGTGGATTATCCTTTTTGTGCTTTTTTGATTTTATTTAATGTTTAAAAGGTACTTTGAGGATGTAATTTTTTTAATTGGTTGTTTTTTCTGGTTTATTATGGAGCTGTGGAAAACAAACCAAAGGAATACTTGAAACACTGTTAAAGTGTCATTAGCTTGATCTTATTGTTAATGTTAAATATTTTGAACAGTTACAAAATGGAGTATATATATATATATATATATATATTTAGTTTTTCCATCGATATAGGAAATGTTTACAATATTCAACTATTTTGAATTGATGTCAGTGAAATGGTACGGCTCTGCAAAAGAATAAGGGAACACTTAAGTAATGATTAGTGGAATTGCTATTAATAGGTATGAGTTTGAGTTGTGTGTCTTTGGGTTTTAAACTACCAATGATGTCCATTTTACTCAAACCGATTGATAGCAGATCCAGAGTAAATGCTTATTGATTAATGATCATATTAAATGGTCTTTATTCATTTTTCCAGAACTATAGATTGATAGTTTATTTCTTTAAGGTAGAATATATATATTTTTCCATATGCTTCATGTATTTTTAAGGTTAGCGCACAACCAGTATTACTGAAGCAAAACCAACCCATTTAGACTGTGACAAATAACCCAACCTTTAAAAGTAAAAGTGTGTTAGACATGGTCCAAAGGTTATTTGGGATTATTTACCTTGATTTGGACAATCGGAATGAATTTGTTGAATATCAATTTTTTTTTTGTCCGTTTCTTTTCTATAATAATAATAATAACAATAATAATAAATAAAGTCGATATGCGAGTCCTTGTGATATTAAAACTGGACATGTTCACAATTTTATCATTTGGAGTTGAACGGTTTGGTCTTGCAACAATAGTTGTAACAGTAAAACATAACGCTCTGTTCATTAAACCTAAGCAGTATTAATGGATGAACGAATAAAGAGGAATCATTATGCACCCCGTTTTCTGTTCATCAATCTTTTCTTTTCGGCTCAGTCCCTTTATTAATCTGGGGTCACATCAGCAGAATGAAGCTCCAACTTATCCAGCATATGTTTTATGCAGCGGATGCCCTTCCAGGTGCAACCCATCACTGATAAACATCCATACACACAGACTACGAACAATTTAGCTCACCCAATTCACCCATATCACATGTTTTTGGACTTATGGGGGAAATCGGAGCACCCAGAGGAAACCCATGGGCCCATGAGGAGAACATGCAAACTCCACACAGAAATGCCAACTGACCCAGCAAAGGATTGAACCAGCAACCGTCTTGTTATGAGGCCATTGTGCTACCCACTGCGCCACTGTGACGCCACGTTTTCTGTTTTTAAATATTTTTTGTGTGCCATTTATAATTCGTCTGCTGTCTGTCTGAATGCTTCGACACCGCGACCTACACCAGGCTGTTTTCTCTGCCAGCTTTCTGGGAAATAAAGCAAGAGTTGAGCATCTGTTTTTAGCTTCATGTGCTCGAGGCTGTTGTGTTTTGGTTGGCATAGAAACATGAGCTGTGGTAATTGTGAGGTCCCGCTGGATGAGACCCTAGAAGTGACCTCGCTCTCATCTCTGCAGGGCAAGGGCTGCTGGGAGTTGAAGTTCTCCGGGTCATCTGTATTTTTATGTGTGCAATGATGATGACGAGGTCTTGCCTTTAAGGCTAGTAAAAGTGGAAAGGAACTCTAGAATAACAACCGATGTTTTGTTACATACTGTACTCTTCCTTCTGTATGCCGAATGTGAAACTACCCAGCTAGAATAAAAAACACATTAGGTTAGGTTACTTTATTTATACCCGAAGGTAGATTTATTTGCAGTCAAGAGTCCTCCTTTCATAACAGTGCCACACACACAAAATTAACATAGTGACAACAACAAATGGACATAAGAACATAAAACAAATACAAAACACTTTCTTCAAAAAAAAAAAAAAGTATCAATAAACAAACACTTCAAGTGTCTTTAAGCTCAGTGTTGAAGGAAATGATTTAATCAAATACCTCATTACTTTAACTTAAATAGAGTAAGTTCACAGTACTCAGATTAGTTTTTTTTTAACTCAAATGTTTTGTAGCAATCGGTTTCCTCAAACGGGTTTAGTTGCCTTAACTTATTGGGTTTTACGGTACTCAGTTGGTTTGAGTTCTCTTCATTTACTGGGTTTTACTGTGGTCAAATTGCTTTATTTACTCAAATGGATTAAGTTCACAGTACTCATGTAGATTAGTTTTTAAACTTTAATGGTTGGTTGCAATCAGTGTCCTCAAACGGGTTGAGTTGCCTTAACCTATTGGGTTTTACAGTGTACTGTACAGGTATTAGATATTCATCCTCTAATTGTGTATGGTGGTTTGGTGTCGATTGAGAGAAAATTCACCTGAAGCTTTAACAATAGCCACAGGCCATGAATGAAATGAACATGGTCATCTCACCTTCTCTGTCTTTTTCATTATCTTCTTTTCACCGCTCTGGAACCTATTTCTCTGACCTTTTACTAGCACACTGGAGAAAACTGCTGATCAGAGATCTGGCTTGATGGGACGGATTGTGGGTTAATCTGTCTGAAGCATGTGGGAGAAATAAGGTTTCCCTGGATCGTGAGAAAGGTGAGGAAATGAGCTGAGAGTGGGGGGGGGGGGGGGGGGGGGGGGGGGTGGGGGGGGGAAGGGGGGTATTGATTGGTTTTGCTAATGAGAGGATTTTTGTTAGGCTGTTTAGATCTGTGTACCTAATATCCATGTTTAACATTAGATGACTATTTGTACAAAAACTGGAAAGAGCGAACCAATCTGTGGGTCACCTGTGGTGCAAATACTCAATCTTGGAACTATTTGAATACAGTTTTTATTTCCATCAGAAATTCTTGAGGGAATTTTTGAAGAATATTTTTCAATGCATGTACATTGCACTAGAGGGCAGTGTTATGCAGCATTATTGGGAAAAGATGCCATCTAGCATTTCCTAAAATGAAAATTTACTCACTCTCAAGAGTTTCCAAACCTTCATGATTTTTTACATTTTTGAAGATATTATGGAGAATGCTGGAACCTGATCGGCATATCAATGTCCATACAAAAAATAATAAATAAATAAAAATAAAACACAAATGGGTGGGTGAGATTTGTGTAATTTGATTGGCCATCTTAATAATTTTGACTGCGACATAGGCATTACGATTTTTTTTATTTCCGTCTTACCGTAAGAAGATTTTGCCTTGACATTTTAAAGTTATCATTGTTGAATGCACCTTAAATAGATTACATTTTATAACAAAATAGTAGTAAAAATATTTAGTTGAATGTGTAAATAGTAATTGTTATACAAGAAGTCAGTGATTAAAAAAAGTATTTGCTCCACTCCTCCCTCTTCTCAGAAAACAAAAGTGAAACTTAACGCTGTCTCTCCTCCTGCATGCAGCTGCGTTCAGAGGTAAGTGCGTCAAAAAAGTATTCTCAACATCCAGCGGCACTTTTTGTGTATTTATTTTATGCGTTGCATAGGTAATAATCTATCTTTGCGAAAGTGTAATGTTTAAGGTGCATAAAGCAGAGATATTGTTTATTCTAAATGCAAAGAGCAATACGATTTATGATATATATATATATATATATATATATATATATATATATATATATATATATATATATATATATATATATATATACAAAAACATAATACATTTGATTCTGTTTGTGTTAAGCTAATTTCTGAGCATGGGACACCGTATTATAAACAGGTTGTAACAATGTTACACTTCACTATTAGTTTTAAGTAGGCTAGAAACATGTTGACATTAGCTAATATTTGTGGTTGTAATATTTAGTAAGTATTGAGTCAGACGTCCTTCTGTCCTTAATGAGAACTGTCTCGGTTTTAGAGCAAATACAGAAGTACAATCCATATCGATCAGTATCCCTATGGGATAATAAAAAACTACAAAAAGCCCAACCCTCCATTTTTTCCAGTTATTCTCACCAACAGGGGGCTGAGAGCTACCAACGTAGGCCTAAATTTGGTATAAACTAACTATTAGTGCTGCTAACTTATTAAACAGATTAAGATATATATATATATATATATATATATATATATATATATATATATATATATATATATATATATATATATATATATATATATGTGTGTGTGTGTATCTAATCTAAATTCATTTCAATATTGTACCTACTATACCTTTATGAATGGAGCCAAAATAACAATGTTATATTCAGTCTTATTGACAATTTGCAAGAAAATAAGTGAGCAAATTACTAAATAACTTTTTTAATCCACATATGCACTTATTTGTTTCTAGAGTTTTAAGGTGCTTGGGTCAATTCCTGTCTCTTGCTGTTTTTCCTACAGTAAAACATCTTGAGTGCTTTTGAAAATAAAAGAACAAAAATGGCGGAATCTTCTGACAGTCAAAATCCTTTCAACTGTCCGATTTGTCTTCATCTTCTGAAGAATCCAGTCACCACAACTTGTGGTCACAGTTTCTGTATGGACTGTCTTAATGGATTCTGGGATGGGGACGATCAGAAGGGAGTCTACAGCTGTCCCCAGTGCAGGCATTCATTCAGCCCAAGACCAGATCTTTGCCGAAACATTGTGCTGGCTGCAGTTGTAGAAGGAATGAAGATTAAAACACCAGAAAAAGATGCACCAGAAAAAGCATCCGTCTCTCCTGTTTTGAGTTTTGCCATGTCTGTGGATGTGGAGTGTGATATCTGCACTGAGACCAAACTAAAAGCCATTAAATCTTGTCTAGTGTGTTTGGCGTCTTACTGTGAATCTCACATCCAAACTCATTATACATCTCCTGCGTTAAAGTGGCACAAATTGGCCAATGCCTCACCACGTCTACTGGACCAGATCTGCTCTCAACATCATAAGCCTCTGGAACTGTACTGTTGTCAAGATCGGCAGCTGATATGTATGCAGTGTGCTCTGATTAACCACCAGAACCACAGTATGACTTCACCTGCGGCTGAACGACAAAACATCCAGGTCAAAACCTTCTGATTTGTCTGCATCATAGTACTGTATATAGCACTGACATGTATTTCTTTAAATATTATGATAATAATAACTCTGTTTTGTTGTTCACCTTGTACATCATCCTCCATGAAATTAATTTTCATTACAAGAGTATAATGTAAACCGATTATAAATGTCTTTACAGGAACAGCTAAAGTTAAAACGGGACGGTCTACAAGAGGATGTGCTTCAGAGAGAGGTAAAGGTGAAGGAACTAAAACAAGCCAAGGACTTTTACAAGGTAAGAGCATCTTACCAGTATGTTGCAAGTTGCAACATTAATTCAAAAAAAGTTCAAACCAACATCAAATTCTTTGGTAACAAATTTAACTCCTCCTTGTGATAAATGGAACACTTCCATAAAGTTTTCCACAAGGGTCCATAAAGAACAAAGCTTTGAAAGTGCTATAAATGGCTTATTGATAATTATAAATTTAATGGTTTTGTACACTTTTAAAAGTTTTAATAGTTTTTTTAATTAATTTGAATATGAGCATTTTTATGTAAGTTTTTTATAACACACACTTACACACACACACACACACACACACACACACACACACACACATATATATATATATATATATATATATATATATATATATATATATATATATATATATATATATCGACAGGACAAGATAGTGGAAAGACGATGAACTGGCACAGGACAGCAGATGTAAGGAGACTATAAAGGAGAAACAATTGGCAAACAAACAGGTGAACTGAGTAAACAAATAATGGGTTAACAAGAGGGGTGGGACTAAACAATACACATGACACAAAGAGACAACACAAGCCATATGCTCATGTAAAACAGGACACGCAGCCAATGAGAGAACTCATTAATTGCGTGTTCACATGAAACACAACACTAAGGCCCAATCCTAATTCTCCCCGTTAGCCCTACCCCTCATTTTGCGCGTTCACGTCAAGGGGTAGGGGTGTCCCAATTTTCTTTAGCTTGAAGGCGTAGGGTTAAGGGGAAAGGGTGAGTAGCCCTTTTCAGGACCACACTCGAAACCAAGGGGTAAGAAAATGCTCGCTGCAAAGACAAGAACGCACAACTCACTTGAGACCGCACATTCAGTACAACAACAACAAGAGACACCAACCAAAACAGGATGAGTGCCTGGCCCTGAGAAAACTCGAGCCGAGCATAACATAAGTGACCAGACTGGACTAGTGTCTGGACTCTGCCACCAAAACATGAATTAGCAAGACAGAATCCTGACAGTATGTGTAAAATCCTTTAAAGGGACATCATTTAAGTGTCCAAATGCAATCATTGGGTTGTTATGATAAGTAGTTTGCTAGAAGTTTTTCGTCTTCTTTGTGTTCACAGCGCTCTACACAGGCTGCAGTGGTTCACTGTGAGGAGATGTTTACGGAGCAGATCCACTCCATGGGCAAACGACGAGCTGGGATAACAAAAATGATCAGAGCTCAGGAAAACGTAGAAGTAAATCGTGTTGAGGATCTCATACTTACTCTGGAGCAGGAGATTAGTGACATGAGGAAGAGACATGATGAACTGGGGCAGCTTTCACACATAGAGGACAACATCTGTTTCATTCAGGTATCTGGGAGTGTTTCTAGTGCATAAGTTTAAGAAAAATTAAAGTTTACACAAAAATTATGATTAGACTTATTGCTCAATTTTAGAAGACTTTTGTCTCTAAATTCAATTCTAATATTTTTTTAGGGATAAGCAAATCTAGCTCTGCTAATGCTGGACTATCCTGGGAGTAATATTACAGGCACTTTAGTATTTTTAAATATAACAATAATTATAATTATAACTATGCATTATTGTAGTGAAGTGAGTTTTATCAGATATGGTTACCCATACTCAGAATGGGCTCTTTGAATTTAACTCATCCAAGTTCACACAGATTTTTAACAATTTTTTTTTAATATTTTTAGAATTTCTCATCTATTTCCGACTACCAATATTCAAACCTGTGCGCCATGTCCATCAGCCAGCATCTGACATTTGAGCAAATAGAAACAACTGTCAGTGAGCTGAAAAGCCAACTAGATAATCTCTGTGAACAAGACATTGTGAGGATATCAGAGAAAGGTAAAATTACATGCTTTTGGCCGCTAGCTAGTACATTTGTGAACTTTTTTTGATTAATTTGCTAATCTTATTCAACTTAAACAGAAATGCTAGGGTAATTTTTTCCCGTTTCTAATGTTTTAAGTGGTGTTTTTCTTGTTGTTTTGCCGTTGGTGCTCAGAAACAATTAGAAAGCTTGGTAACTGGTAGTTTACCAGAATGTACCAATTGCAAAAAAACAAACATTAAATGCAGTTTTGACTGCTGTTTCAACAGTGTATCAACAGGCTAATGATTGACTGAAGTCTAAGGCAGTGTTTCTCAACCACTTTCCTGGAGGACCAACAGCACTGCATGTTTCAGATGTCTCCATTGTCTGCTACACCTATTACTGGTCTTTCAGTCTTTGCTTATGAGGTGATGAAGTGAATCAGGTGTGTTTGCTTAAGGAGACATCGGAAATGGGCAGAGCTGGTGTTCCTTCTGGAACATGGTTAAGAAACACCGGTCTAAGGTATCATGTGGTCAAGATGTGAAACCAAACAAAGAAAATTACCTTTTATAGATCAACAACAATACAATATTCCAAATAAGTAAAAAAAGAGATGAATGAGATAAAAAGTAAATTAAATTGATTTTAAACTTGTTTCATAGTTTCAACCAAAATTGAATATCATTTTATTAAATACTCACCCTCATTTGTTTTAATCCCCTGAGGCCTTCATTATTTTTGGATCGTTCAGTCAGACTGTCATGATGTGTTAACTAATTTTGCATATTCATCTTAATAGTTTCTGCTGTCCAAATACTGGTGAAAAATGAAAAAGCCACAAACTGTAAGTCAAAAATTTTTTTCATGATAAGAAAAAATTAAATCATGCAAACACACTATGTACAAGCATGTGCCAAAAATTTGAGTACCGAGGGAAAGTCCATTTATTTCAATAAATTATCATTTCAAAGTGAAACCTATAGTTTATATTTCAGTAGTTCACAAAGTAAAATATTGCAAGCCTTCATTTGATTCAAGTTTAATGATTATAGGTTAGAGATGAAAAAAAACTGCAGTATCCAGAATTTTACCAAATTAGAATATCATCATGACAAAGTTCAACATTGCAGACTCCCTGTGTCTCAGTCTATTCCACTAATTCATGCAAAGCCTTGAAATTGTCTCAGTGTGGCTTAGTAGGTTTCAGAATGATAGGGAAGACTGCTGACTTGATGGTTGTGCAGAAAACTATCATTGGAACCCACCATAAGAGGGAAAAGTCTCCAAAGGCAATTGCAAAAGAAACTGGAAGCTCACAGAGTGCAGTATCTAAGTATATTAATAGAATGCTAAAGGGCACCTATGGTAAAAAATCTACTTTTCAAGCTGTTTGGACAGACATGTGAGTAGGTATAGTGTATAGACCGTCATATTGGGGTGATATAAACATACCCAGTCCTTTTTTTTTTTTAATTTTAATGACATAAAAATGGTGGATCAGTTGGAGCGGTTTTGACACCGACTGCAACTTGACGTAGGAGTGCGGTCCTCCCGCCTCCCAATATTGATTGACAGGCAACCATCACCATATCCTCAGTTGAATATGTCCGCCTTTTTTAGTGTGTGAGTCAAAGCGATGTCACCAAAGAAACAGCCTTGCTCTATTTTTGGATGTAAGGCTCATTGGACTCAACACAAGAACCTTCATCGTGTTCCATCTCCTTTGATTACATTTAGTGGCCATTTACGCTGAACACGCAGTGAATGCAACATATCAAGATTCGGGCCATTAAAAAACAATGTTAGAAGTGTCTGTGCTGAGCTAAAGAGAAAAGGTACTGGTCTGTTGCCCATTTGTCCCAAGTCCTCTTTTCAGATGAAAGCAAATTTTGTATTTCATTTGGAAATCAAGATCCCAGAGTCTGGAGGAAGAGCGGAGAGACATAAAAGTCAAGCTGCTTAAAGTCCAGTGTGAAGTTTCCACAGTCAGTGATGATTTGGGGAGCCATGTCTTATGCTGGTGTGGGTCCATTGTCTTTTATCAGGTTCCCAGTCAGTGCAGCTCAATACCAGGATGTTTTAGAGCACTTCATGCTTCTTGTTAATGACAAGCTTTTTGCAAATGATGATGTTTTTTTCCAGCAAGACTTAGGACCTGCGCATAGTGCCAAAGCTACCAGTACCTGGTTTAAGGACCACAGTATCTCTGTTTTTAATTGGCCAGGAAACTCACCTGACCCTGAACACATTGAAAATTTATGGGGTTTTGTCAAGAGGAAGGTGAGGAAAAAGAGACTCTGAAATGCAGACAAGCTAACGGCTGATATCAAAGCAACTTGGGCTACCATAACACATCAACTGCGGATCGCCTCCATGTCACATCGCCTTGATGCTGTAATTAGTGCAAAACGAGGCACGACAAAGTACTGAGGACATAAAACAGTACATTAACACACTTTTCAGAAGGCCAACATGTGTTTGAGACCTTTTTTATTGGTCACATGAAATATAAAAATTTTATTAAAATACTGGATTTATGATTTTTCATCTTTAATCCATAATCATTAATATTAAATCAAATGGAGCCTTGAAATATTTCACTTTGTGTGTAGTGAACGAATATAACACACAAGTTTCAGTTTTTGAAACAAATTATTGAAATATAATTTGACTTTCCCTTGGTACATGCCTGTATACTTAAAGTTTCTTCTTTTCTTCATTTGTTCAGATTTGCCATCCCAGCCCAAGACCAGAGAAGAGTTCCTTATATGTACGTAAGAGGCTTTTATTAAACGATAATAAAAAACAAATGTTAATTAAAAGGTGTAAAATATGATGACTAAGAAGCGACATGCTCTGTTTACTTGGCCATGTAACTTTATAGTATTGATATGTTTTGGCATGTGGAGACCATTTGATGTGAAGGTGTGTCCTTGATAACCTGCTATGACTTACTTTAACCATACTTTAGCTATGACTAGCTGACTATAAGTAATATAACTGACTATAGTAAGCTGGGTTTATGAAAGAGAGCATTTACTAGACGATGCAGAATTATGGCTACATTATAAAACAGTATTATAAAAAAAGATTTTTGCAAACAATTAAATGGGCTGAATTTAAACAAACAAATAAAATTTTGTAATGTTCAACTTACTTAGTTTGTTTAAATTCAGCCCAAATAATTTTTTGTAACCACTTACCTTAAAAAAATTGTATATCCAACATTTTTTTTTCCTGGTCTAAAGTGAAGGTCAAAAATTATTTAACTTTATAATCATACTTATTAAAACTTTAAAGACTTGCATAATTTAGAAGAAATATGCTATATTCATTCATTATCCAGTATTTTCCAAAACATATAAAACCTGTGAACTGAACTCCATATATGCTTTTTAAAATTGCAATTCTACTTTCTTTTTATTGTTAGATTCCTCTGATCTAAATCTGAATCCCTCATCATCCTGTAATGGGCTTTCTGTGAACAGCAACAAGTCTGTGACAAGGAATTATACTCAACAGCACAACTTTTCAAACCAGGGATTGTTTGGTTCACAGCCAAATTATTTCAGTTCAGATACATACCAGAATTATACATACCAGGTATTGTGTAATGAAAGTCTGTCTGGACGCTGTTATTTTGAAGTTCAGTGGGCAGGAAAAGGTTGTTCTATTGCATTCTCATATGACCAGTTTCTGCAAGGAGGGGGAACTTGTAGATTTGGCTCTGACAACAGGTCCTGGAAATGTGACTTTCCAACAGCAAATGTTCTTGTATGCCATGATAACCGACAGACTAGCATTTCATGGGTCTCTAAAATTGGAGTGTTTCTGGATCAGGAAGTAGGAACTGTGTTCTTTTACAATGTCTCTGATAAAATGACCCTCCTGCACCAAATCCAGACCACATTCACTGAGCCCCTCTACGCTGGGTTTTCTTTTCAGGACTGGGAAGATTACTCATCTGTAACCATTTGTGATCTGCCATCTGAATTGCAAAAATAGTAAATCTCAGTATTAAACAAGTCATGGCTAGTGAAAGTTAGTAAACACATAATGGTTTCATTACCAGAAAAAGGAAAAAAAAAAAAACTTAAAATGCACAACAAATCCTACGACAGTGTGTGAATTATTCTATTCTATTCTAAAACTATAGTTTGTCCTGACCCAGATTTTATACTACGATAAATGTTTGTTAATAGATAGAAAAAGTTTACTCTGACTCTGCTAAACCCAAGTGTACTGTCGTGGACTTTGTGCCTGTTATACTTTACTAAACATCTTCATTGAGATCTTCAGCGTGTCCTAATCAATGCCATGTTGTGCCATGCATTATACTCCAGGTCTGTTAAATGTTTAACCGCAAAGAGAAAGAAATTCTCTGTCTAATAACTGCATCACTGACTGCTGGCAAATGTCTTAAATATAATTAAGACAAGATTATATTAAAATGTAATGTTGAAATACAAAACTTGATCAATGTTATGTAGTAACTGTAGCATAATCAAAATAATTGGCAATTGGTCACTGAATAATTAAAAAACGAAAACATGCATTTTAATATTGGTGGCATTTACAAAACTGTAATGGGCTATCGAAAAAATCTTCATAGATCTTCATAGAAAATCAAGCATTTTTTCTTTTATTATTTGTTGTGGATGTGTCAAAAGGTTGTTTGTTCTTATATTTTTTTGAGATCCACTAAGTTTCAAAAAGTTTCACTTGCTGTTGTTGCTACTTTGTATTTCCAAGCTTTTCATTTGTTAGGAATGGTGTCTCTGCTGTGGTGTTGTGAATTTAATGCATTTCGCTCAATATTAAAAATAAATATAAACATCATTAGTCTTGATGTTGATTTCTCCACCTGCATGTAATTGTTTTGAAGATTGTTGTATTTATATCAGATTAAATAGTTATTGAATGTTTGCTGCTTGCTGTGACAGCTGTCAACCAGTGTTGGGTAAGGTACTTTAAAAAAGTAAATTATTTACATTTTTTGTGAAATTTATTAATAAACAAATTTCGAGAGGATCACATGCTTATGATTTACCACAGCCGGTCTTGCATTAGCTAATCATGATCCTCCAATTATATAATAACTATACTATAGTAAGTTACTGTACTAAGTTACTATATATGACCGTCTTCATTCCACATTTATCTTCGTCTGGAAGAAATCCTCCTTCCTTCCCTTCTACTTTATCCTCGTGGATTGGGTGGCACGTTGGCCCAGGGGTTAGCACTGTTGCCCCCACAGCAAGAACAGCGCCGGCTCTTTGTGGTTCAATACCTTGATATATATATAGGGGCAAATCAGTGGCGCAGTAGATAGTGCTGTCGCTGGTTCGAGCCTCGGCTCAGTTGGTGTTTCTGTGTGGAGTTTGCATGTTCTCCCTCTGGGTGCTTTGGTTTCCCCCACAGTCCAATGACATGTGGTACAGGTGAATTGGGTAGGCTAAATAGTCTGTAGTGTATGAGTGTGTGTGTGAATGTGTGTGTGGATGTTTCCCAGAGATTGGTTGCGGCTGTGTAAGGTCCAGCCAGTTGGCCCAATGCCGGTGTCCACTGGTGGATGAAGGTTCGATGCCTGTTCGGTCTTTCCAGTGCACAATGTTGATTTACCTTGAATTTGACTCATATCTGACTCCAATTTTAGTATGAGGTGGTTTAGAATATTAATATATTATAATAAAACATTAAGAAGATTATATCAATATGTAATTTAGATAAATGTTTGAACCTTTTGTCTTCACTAGTAACTATCACATCCATTCATTCAGGTGCTCATGTCGCTCAGAGAAATCGCCTCGGCCGAAGGCGTCCCTCACGGTCACACTCTGGTCAATCTTGAATATTAAACAGAGGTAATTGACTAATACTTTAGATGGCCGCTACCAGCGCGCTCGTTTTAAAATACTTTTGGTTAGTCCCGCTTAGGTGTACACCCTTAAGTTAAGACAATATCATTTCTAATTAGAGGTTAGGGCATTATTATAAATGTACCCGACTACTGGATTCCACAGCAACTTTGGCCTTCACCATACCCATGGTTTCCCACACGAACAGAATCGCGCCGAGCCTTTCTCAAACCTTACCTTTAGTAATCCAAGAATTCCCTCAAGGAAAGGGGTGTGTGCATAACAAAAGGCATTTGCATTTAGTGCTGCCTGTGGAAAAGTCACACCCTTCACAGTGGTTCAAAAGATGTCTGAAGTTATATATTTATTGTTTTGATTATGTCTATTTCTGAGAGAATGAGACCATTGTACCAGTCGCACTGAGACATTTCAAATGATATCAAACATGATAGATAAAGTCACTTTGGTTAATCTAGAACATTCAAACATTGAAATGACCATATGTGTGAGTTGGGGTGATTTGAAGTCGAGTTTCAGCAGGTTCAGATGCAAATGTAGCAGGAGCTGGTTTTTCCCGCATTCCCACCTGCTGGGTTGTGGAGTCAACCGTCTCTGCTTTCAGCCCATGCCTGAATTGTCAAAGATATCAAAATATTTGCAATATTTCAACTCTTACAGATGTAAGGGCATCCGTTGCGTAAAAACTTGCTGGATAAGTTGGAGGTTTATTCTGCTGTGGCGACCCCGGATTAATAAAGGGACTAAGTCGACAAGAAAATGAACAAATATATATATATATATATATATATATATATATATATATATATATATATATATATATAATCACAAAACATTTTTACTTACACCACATTTCAAGTAAATCATATACTGTATTGTCATTAACTTGTCAATCATTAATTGCTTCTTAAGCACTAATGTGTGTGTGTGAGGGATAGAGAAAGATCAGAAATTTAGAATGAATGAAGTGAAATGATTTTGTTTTTAAATTAAACAATCATGGTTTAATTTTAGCGTTGCTCATCATCATCTTCATCACCAAACTAAAGGTTTGAGGAAGAGTTGTTAAATATAAGCTGTCTAATTTCATAGATAGGCTGCTTTCACCAAGACTGTGAGCATTGTTCAAGGTTATGTAATATGTATGGTCAATAAATAAACAAAATAAAACAAATAATAATGATAATTTAATTGCACTCTAAATGTTATTTGAATAGGTGGTTTAAAGCGTGTATAATTTGTAAAAAAAAATAAATAAAAAGAGCAATAGTTTCTTACTGCACAGGGCAAATAAAACTCTTAAAATTGATAAAAAATACAAACATTATCCCGAAGATTTATATTTAATTGTATAAATGATGAAGCATTTGCATTTGATAGATTAGACATACTGTCGAAAAGACGTTTGCAATGGATTTGTAAAAGCTGTTTTTTGCATGTTTTGTCTGCATTTACACAATTTTGACCACCAGGTGTTGCTGTTGTTTTCTCCCATCATCATTTCTGCAAAGCAGCTGTGTGGAGCAGGTGAGTCTGTGGTGAATAATTTGTTAAGTGTCAGTTGTTACCCATCAGTATGGGAAATGCGACTTGATCATTGGGGAAACCATACTGTGCGTAAACTGTGTCGTTTTGTTGAAACTTTCAAATGATTTGGCGCTTCTTTTTAGTCGGATAGAAGTATTGCCCAGTCCGACGTGTAGTGAGGAGACACGAATTGAAGTTGAGTGGAACTAAAGTTTAACCTAAAGTTTTTGACTAGGTGTGTTATGATGGGAGGTAAAGTTGGTTTTAAATTTGCACATTTGTGAATTTTAACAGCATCTATATTTTTACCTCGCTAATTTGAATATTTGGTCTGAAATTGCATTTAATTATGATTTCCAAACAATATTAGCACTATTTAATTGACTGTGAACAATGTTGTACTTTGATAGTCAATGGCTGCTAATGCTATTTCACTGTTTATAATTCGCAAATAATACATTTATGAAATAATATTATGAAGTAGAAGTTTAAATATAAAACCAACTTTACCTCAGTTAGGACACGTACAGATGAAATGTGGTGCTCGTTGTCATAACGGTTTGTTAGAGAATCGAGAGAAAGAAAAACATGGTGGGTTTGATTTGATGAGACAATTAATGTAATTTTTGATTTAGTCGACAATTTTGTCAACAGTGTACCTGTATAACTATATTATGCTTATTTTAACTTAAGAACATTAGACAGTTTGACTGAAATGTCTGCAGCTTCAGGTTTTAGTTTTTTTTTAATTCAATAGTTTGTATTTTCCTTAAATTTCAAAGTAAGGTGGATAGTAGCAATAATGAATATTGTGTTCAAATATTTTGTAAGTTTTGTCTATTTTTGTAAGCTTCAAAATGAAATGTGACTAATTTTGTCTTTTTCTTCACTTTTTTTTACAGCTGCAAAATGGCAGAATCATTGGATGATCAAAATTTCTTTAACTGTCCAATTTGTCTACATATTCTGAAGAACCCAGTCACTACGTCTTGTGGTCACAGTTTCTGTATGGACTGTCTTAATGAATTCTGGGATCAGGAAATTCTGAAGGGCATTTACAGCTGTCCCCAGTGCAGGCATTCATTCACCCCAAGACCAGCTCTCTGCAAAAATACTGTTATTGCTGAAGTTGTGGAGAGAATGAAGATTAAAGAAACAGCAACGGTCTCTCCTGTTTTAAGTTTTGCTGTGTCTGGGGATGTGGAGTGTGATATCTGCACTGAGACCAAACTAAAAGCCATTAAATCTTGCCTGACATGTTTGGCTTCTTACTGTGAATCTCACATCCAAAGTCATTATACATCTCCTGCGTTAAAGTGGCACAAATTGGCCAATGCCTCACCACGTCTACTGGACCAGATCTGCTCTCAACATCATAAGCCTCTGGAGCTGTACTGTTGTAAAGATCAGCAGCTGATATGTATGCAGTGTGCTCTGATTAACCACCCGAACCACAGTATGACTTCACCTGCGGCTGAACGACAAAACGTCCAGGTCAGTTGACTAAAATAGAGTAAAATTTGTCACTCGGATACAGATAAAATATATATCAGATTAAAGTTTTTTTTTTTTCTTCTCATTATCTTCCTGGTCATCTGTGACGTTTAAAATAATTCCATTAAAATATTGTTCTGGACAATAATGCCAAATATTATTAAATAATGCATAGGCTTCTTTTATTGAAATTTAAAATGAATGAAGGTCCCTCATGTTAAACAAGACTTTTGTTTGCCATTTGTGCAGAAGTATTGGACATAATGTATTTGAAATTACAGATCATATTAGTTTTTTAAGATTAAGTTATTGGCTCACTCCAAATGGATGCTTTTATCATTTCCTCAGCCTCCTGTTGGTCCAAATGCAATTTAATCTTCGAAATTCAAATTAATATATCTTTTAAGTCTGAGAGATTTGTGTTGCTCCAACTCAAAGATATCAATAATCCAGATGAGTTGAAAGATTTAATTCAAGACTTCTAAAGACATATTAAAGACACTTACAAATAAACAATCAATCAGCAAACCTTAACAACCACAAACTGCTGAACCTGCTTGATGCACATAGACAAACCTCATTGGTTTTTGGGGCGCAGGTACGGTTGAAGAAAAGTCAGGTTGGAATACAATTGGAAATACTTCAGCGTGAGATGAAGGTGCAGGAATTAAAACAGGCTATGGCCTCCCATAAGGTAAACTGAATAATTGTAGTACTCTGAAGTTATTATAACAATTATTTAACTTGACTATTTTATGATTAGTAAAGGGGGCTTTTCCATGTCATTTACAGCGCTCTGCAGAGGCAGCAGTGATTCACTGTGAGCAGGTTTTCGCAGCTCTAATCAGCTCCTTGGAAAAAAAACGAGCTGAGATAACAAAGATGATCAGAGCTCAGGAGAAAGCTGAAGTGAGTGAAGTTGAAGTACATGTCAAAACACTGGAGCAGGAGATCAGTTACTTGAAGAAGAGGCATGAAGACCTGGAGAAGCTTTCAAAGGTCGACGATGACATCCATGTCATTAAGGTACCTGTCTGTTCATCTTTAGAAAATGTGTTTGTTTGAAGGCTGATTTGAGTTCTATTGCTTGACCCAAAATCACATCCAACTTTGGCTTTCTAAATGTGTGAGATCAGTCAGTTGAGAAGAAAATTATTTTAAGGAGGCAGTAGATAAACACAGAGTGTAGGATGGAGTTATCCATCTTAATAAAATCAGAGAAAGAAAACTAAAAACAAAGTTCATTATAATAATAATAGAGCAATTTGTCCCTAGAAGGTGAGTAAACATAATATTTTTAAATAGACATGAAACTTAAGGCTTTATAATAGAAATGCATTAGGTTGAATAGAAGTTGTACTCAATCAATTTGGACCAAAAGACAACAAATATATATTTCATTTTTCATGTTATTGTCCTCCCAAATAAATGTAGTGTTAGTGCTGCACAACTCCCCTGACTGTAAAACATATTTTACTGGACTGTCCTGTTTTCAATTATTCCAGTAGACTTTTTTTTAAAAGAAATGAACTCTCTTAAGGACATTTTTCGCAAAGTGACACCAGAAATGATTTTAGAATTCTTATCATATAGTAACAATAAAAATCTTATTTAATTTATGTATTAATTTGTTTGTTGATTTTATATGTATATTTATTATTTAAATGTTCCTGCCATGACAATATAGCTTTGGTTGCTAACATGGCATAAAATAAAAAATACATGACATGTATCCCAAATACATCTACTTTTAACAATGTTAAAATTGTCATATAAAAAAGAAAGTAATACTTTGTAAAAAAAAAAAAATGACAATTAACATTAAAGTATCTTGCTAAGATATATATATATATATATATATATATATATATATATTTTTTTTTTTTTTTTTTTTCTTTTCTTATTTATTCTTATTCTTTTATTTTTTTTTTCTTATTTGTGACAAATCCATTGGCCCTTAGAACTAATCATTGGCGTATAGCCCTGTATAAGTCTAAAATTTCGTTCATAATGGTCTTAAAACGTCTTAATATTTACTTGATGGAACCTGCACAAACCCAGTCATAAGTGGGATCAGAAGGGAAAACATGCCATTTCAACCAACAAAAGTAAGTGAGCTATAATGTCAGAATAAGACAAAGTCTGAAGTCAAAGACCTTTTTTGAAATATTAGATTTTTTTTCTTCTTTTTTTTTGTATTTCCATGTGCAGAATTTCCTCTTTCTTTCCCATTACTGGTGTTCAGACATGTCCAAGATGTCTGTCAGGCAGCTTCTGACATTTGAGGAAATAAGAAAAATTATCAGTGAGATGAAAATCCAACTGGACATCCTCTGTAAAGAAGACTTTGTCAGGATATCAGAGAAAGGTGGGAGAGCTTTTAAAGATGTTTGTTTAATTCTAACTAGTTTCTTTTTCCAGTTGCAACTTCTTAAACTAAGAAAAGAAGGAATTGAAAGCAGATTTGTAACTCTTTATAATTTGTAGCACAACATCTTTCACAATATACAGCAAACAGACTGATGGTCTCATTTTGCATGATTTTCTTTGTAGTTCCCACAGTCCATGTAATGGTGAATAATAAAAAGACCAAAGAGTGTAAGTCATTTTTTTTTACATCTCACAATAAATAAAAACACTGATAGTAGAATATTTATACTCCGTTTTGATTTTGTTTAGATTTTCCATCTCAACCCAAGACCAGAGAAGAGTTCCTGATATGTAAGATACTTTGCAGTTTACACAAAGTATAAATGTATGATGAAATCAAATACATAGATTTGTTCAGGCTGAAGCCAGTAGAATTAAAGATTTGCATCGATTCATTGCATTATGGGACCTTGATAACTTTGCATGTTCAATAGGTTAAAGTACATTTATTGTGATTTTTATACTTGTTTATAATGATATGCAGGTATTGTCTTAGTTGATGATGTAAATTACAGGGGCTAATTTATACAGAATAATACAATTTCATATGATAATGTTCAATTTTTATATGGACATATGCACCTTAAGCTAGTTGTGGTCAAACAAATTCATACAAATTAGCCCCTAAATCACAGATTATTTGTAAATGAAGGAACAGAAACTTTATCATGAGCTGTCAGTACTACATTTCTTATTTCTTTTACAATATACTGGTTTCAGCTAATATTAATGTCAATTTGTAGAGTTTAGCTGTCTTGAGAATTTATGATGGTCTCGTAATGCAATTCAAAGGTTTAAATAAATACTTGTGAACGACAAACTATGGGAAACTGTTATTTGGGAGATATCTTTCTACAGTAGCGAGGCGGTATTGATAAAGAATGATATACTGTAGATAAGGCCAAATTAATTAAATGATTGTGGAAGTTAATACATGATGTAAAAGAGGTTTTGGTAGTCTAATTCTAGTTTTTGTTTTTATCAACAGATTCTTCTGATCTGAATCTGAATAACTCGTCAGTCTCTGGTAGCCTTACTGTGAAAAACGACAAGTTTGTGACACGGTGCAATGGTGGTTATGGGTATGGGTGTGGGAGTGACCAGGTGTCATGTAAAGAGCAACTGTCTGGACGCTGTTATTTTGAAGTTCAGTTGGCAGGAAAGGGTTGTTCTATTGCATTTTCATATTGCCAGAGTCAAAGAGAAACTTTTGGCTTTAACAACATGTCCTGGAAATGTGACTTTCCAGCAGCTAGTCTTTGTGTATGGCACAATTACAAACAGACAAACATTTCCTTTGTCTCCAAAATTGGAGTGTTTCTGGATCAAGCAGCAGGAACTGTGTCCTTTTACAATGTCTCTGATAAAATGACCCTCCTGCACAAAATCCAGACCACATTTACTAAGCCCCTCTATGCTGGGTTTTCACTTAAGGATTGGGGAAATGACTCCTCAGTGACCATTTGCGATCTTTCAGTGAATAAGTAGTCAGTGATGGTAAGCAAATGAATAGTAAATACAACATATAGCAAAAAAATCCTTAAAGGGTTAGTTCACCCAAAAATTTAAATTCTGTTACAATTTACTTTTCCTTTAATTGATCCACACATGTTTGAGTTTCTCCTGTTAAACACAATAGAATATATTCTGAAGAAAGCTGGAAACCTGTAACTACTGACTCCCATAGAAGTATGGTCATAGGTTTTCAGCTTTTTTTTAAATATCTTCTGAACAGATTGAATAAACTCCTAAAGGTTTCGAACCACTTAAGGGAAAGAGTAAATAGTGAGTCAATTTTCATTTTTGAATGAACTATCTATCCTTAAAGTAAAGGGGTAGTTACTAACTAAGCTAAATAAGGTCTGTGGAAAACATATCTCGCCAGTATTGAATGATTTGTTCTACAACATAAACTATGCAGACTCGCATGCCAAATATTATTTAGTCTCCAATTAGAGATATATGTTTTGTAAAATAAACTAGCTTCAAATTTTACTTTGTTGATATGGGGTTTCTAACTTAGGATGTAGAGCAAATGGTTCAAGTATCATCTAGTTGTGATTGCCACAGATGTTATTCTACTCCTAAATTGTAGAGGTCCATAAAATCTTAAAAGAAAAATTGGCAAATGTTTTGACATCATCTCTATACTCAATCAAATTTAGTATGTGCTTTCACAAAGCTTGGCTGAAGTATAATCATGTAAATAAAAGTTTATGAAAGTTTGTAAGGGTTGGCCATACAGTATAATTTTCGTTTCATTTCTATTTTGAAGTTGGGGCTTTTTCTTCTGAAAGTGGCTGAAAGCTTTTTCTTCTGTGGCAAGCACTTTTGTCTTCTGGTGTGACTGAAACTTGACATCGTGTTGACTTCAGCCTGTTTCAGTGATGTCAAGTCGGTTGCCAAGTTTCAGTTACTTGGGTGTTTATGCTAAAATTTAATGCTTGTTTAACAGAATTCCTTGTGTTTAGACTGACATTTCATTGTATGTTAAATGTATTATGATTAATAATTTATTTTTTTCTGTACCAACTGACAAATTGTTTGTCTGCATTGAGACTGAATCATTAAAGAAATGTGAAGATTTTCTTTCAAAAAGACTTTGATTTAGAATTTGAACCTTAGAATTATAAGGTTCTATCTGCGTTCTAAATGATTTTGAGATATTGAGCTTCAAAGTTTTTGCATTCTATATTGCAAACAACATGTGTGTAATGGATCTCTTTCATACATTAACATGACAGAGACCTAAGGGTTCTCTAAATGTAAATTATCAAAGTTCTCTTACAATTTCTAATTGGAGTAAATAAACCACGGTAAATGCAGATAGAACCTTCTCATTCTGAAAATACATTTTCTACTTGAAATTATAAGGTTCTATCTGGCAAATCATTCATTAAAGCATTACTTATCAAGAAATACAATCAATAAATATATAATTTAGTGTTGTAACAATATGTTGATGCTTGAGAAAGTAAAAATTTTGCTTTCTGTAACATTTATTTCATGTTTTAGGATGAATATTTTTTTTCTTGTTCAAATTAAGCATACAAGGCTGTACTAAATAATTCTTTTCAGTGCAGCTGTTAATTTTATCTAGCATGTAAATTTTTATTACATTTTATGCTTTATATTAATTATTGAGTTATATTTATTGAATTATATGCCCTATGATTTAAATTATGTAAGTCTGTGATTGAGTGTGTATGGGTGTTTCCCAGTGTTGGGTTGCAGTGGAAGGGCATCCGCTGTGTAAAACATATGTTGGATAAGTTGGTGGTTCAATCCACTGTGGCGACCCCAGATTAATAAAGGGACTAATCCGAAAAAAAAATGAATGAATGAATCTCAGTGTAAAGAAATGCTTCTAAATTATCACATTTACACACATTTCAATTTTGTGTAGTGCGGCATTATTTAATTGACTCTGATTTTGTGTGATTTTTGTCTTTCTGGTCTTTCCCGCTGTCATTAGAGCTGTCTGGCGAAATAACAAAGAAAGCTTTGGTCCTCGTGCAAGCATTAAAAATCTGATTGACTTACAGATAGAACCTTATAGAGCCAAGCTAGAGTTCAACTTTGTAGATACACGTTTTTAGTTTTTTTTTAAATAAAGTCTTAAAATGTAAACGACTTACACAAAAACATCCCATAATGTAAATAAGTTGCCATTTAATAAGAATGTCAACTCAATTTTGACAAAAATGTCAGATAGAACCTTATAACTCAAAGGTGACTTTATATATATATATATA